GGGGGGGGGGGGGGGGGGGGGGGGGGGGGGGGGGGGGGGGGGGGGGGGGGGGGGGGGGGGGGGGGGGGGGGGGGGGGGGGGGGGGGGGGGGGGGGGGGGGGGGGGGGGGGGGGGGGGGGGGGGGGGAGGGGAGCAGGAAGAGATTTCTGATCCCGACCCTGTTCAATTCTGGTCTCAATTCTGGTCTCAATTCTGGTCTCATCTTGCTCTTGAAAATAAATGAAGAATTTCGTGAAGATGAAAATTGAAATATGAGTTGTGTAACGACCCAGATGCGCCGCTAGTAGATATTGTCGTTTTTGGGCTTTCCCTTGTGCTTCCCCTCGAGGCTTTAAAAGTTTGCATACCCTTAGGCGATGGTTTCCACACCCTTATAAATGGTGTTTTCTTCTCCTCCCCAACCAATGTGGGACATCACAAGATGAGATGGAGACAGAAAAGACTTCCCCATTTATGCCCTACTCTGTAACATCTCTACAAATAGTTGTGATCTTGCCGTGATCGAAAGAAAATGACAAACCGAGTCGATCGATTTAAGTTTTTATATAGTTTCTTAATTCATTAAAAATGTTAATTTTTTTTTTCAGAAATCAGACACAGAGATATTTGAATGAATTGTCGGAAACTATTGCGTTGGTACTCGCTAGACTTGAAAAGCATCTAGACGCCATCCGAGAACAGCATGGTGGAATATACTTTAAAGCCATCCATGATGTTATTGTTCGTTAATTAACAAGTGACCTGAAACATAACGTTAAATTTGTTGTGTTTCTAATGACAGAGGAAGTTGATCTCTACCGATGGTTGGTTGACCACATTGAGCATTTTCATACTAACATTGCATTAGTTGTTTCCAAGCTACTTAGCGGCAAACCTGAAACCAACCCAATAATTGATGGCTCAACTCAAAAAGAGGTAAAAGTTCTTAAATCAAGTAACACAAATATCAAAGTTGATGAACGAAACTTAAAAATGTATGTTTTTACAGGTTGGTGTTCATGAAAGTTTGTCGGGAAAGAACGTGGTATTGCTCATTTCGAGGTTGGATATCTCCGAGGATGATATCAAAGCTATTCATAATATTTATGATGAATTGAAAACTAGAGACACTAATTATGAGATAGTTTGGATTCCAATTATCCCGGAGCCTTATCATGAAGATGATCGCAAGAGATATGAGTATTTGCGTTCTACAATGAAGTGGTACTCAATCCAGTTTACTACAAGAATATCTGGCATGAGATACATCGAGGAGGAGTGGCAATTTAGAGAAGATCCATTAGTTGTGGTACTCAACCCAAATTCTAAAGTAGAATTCATGAATGCAATTCATCTAATTCGAGTTTGGGAAAATGAAGCTATCCCATTTACACAAGCAAGAACTGAATCTTTACTAAAAAAACATTGGCCCGAGTCAACTCTCCTCAAATTCACTCACCAACCAAGGCTACCAAATTTGGTAGGTATAGTACAATCATTCTCTATTTCTTTTCTTTTCTTTTCTTTTGATATCGTAAATGTTTAAGAACGATTTAGAACTTCGGATGAAAATTAAGACTTCAATAATGAAAATTTGAAGGGTAGTTTTCAAAATTAAGACTTCAATAATGAAAATTTCCAAGTTACTCCTATACCAGCTTAGGTCAACATTTACTCTAAGGGTAGTTTTCAAACATTTATAAGAAGTCAATAAATTTATTTTATTTTATTTTTTTTGATTGTTTAGACAGGTTTAGAGTGAGTTTAAAAGTGTTTAAAATTATTTGAGTTCCAAAGTGTTTAAAATTATTTTTACAAAGACAATCAAAATAACCCTTAAATCTCCTATTTTGAGTTGACCTATGTACTTTTGTCAAACAGATTAAGAGTCAGAAAAGTATTATATTTTATGGAGGAAGGAATCCATCATGGATCCAACAATTTGAAGAAAAAGTAGAAATTTTGAAAAACGATCCTTTGATACTCGATGGGAGTTCATTTGAGATCGTACGCATTGGAAAAGATGCAATAGGAGAGGATGATCCTAAACTCATGGCTCGTTTTTGGAAAGTACAATGGGGTTATTTTATAGTGAAGAGCCAGATAAAAGGTTTAAGTGCAAGCGAGACAAGTGAAGATATTTTAAGATTGATTTCTTACCAAAATGAAGATGGTTGGGCAGTTGTTACGATAGGCTCAGCCCCTTTGTTAGTTGGTAGTGGCATTTTGATTTTGAGATTGTTTGATGATTTCCCAAAATGGAAACAAAATTTGCACTTCAAGGCTTTCCCCAATGCTTTTAGAGACTCCTTCAATGAGCTGGCTATGAAGACTCATGAATGTGATCGAGTTATTTTTCCTGAATTTAGTGGATGGATTCCTATGGTTGTCAACTGTCCCGGATGTCCTCGTTTCATGCAGAAGGACATTACCTTTAAATGTTGTCATGGTGGCTCTCGCATGTGATCATCCAAAGTGAGTATTATATATCTTTTTATTATCATATATTACTACTACTAACACTATTACGTGCCATAAATGATTTTTGGTGGTCATCAAGTTCTGTGTTTATATGTTAGAAATTGAGACATATGATCTTGTCGTTATCATCGATTGAATATTTGTATGATTTATGTTATTTCGACAAAATTATGAAATACTTTATCTTATTACTTCTCATTTTTCTCCCATCTCTTAAATTAGGAAGACACAATAACAAATCTGTTATTATGAAAATATAAACTATCAATAAAAAAAAAAATTTAAGAACTACAACTTATATTTTTTAATCTATTATATGATGAATGGATCGGATAAATTTCATAACAAATGAATATGCAAACAATAAGTGACAGTTGAATGATATATACCTATTATTATCACTGAATGTGAGCATTAATATGTCTCGATAACTCAACCAACTCCGATTATCCAACCTAAATTATAAATGATGTCATGGGTATTTTTTTTTCTCAGTTTTCGTTTGGTTGGAAATAGGAAAATTTAATTTGATTAGTTGGTCACAATTTTTTTTGTCCCACCAACCCAACCAACTTAAAAATAGGGTTACCATCTAACCTAATTGTACCATATTTTTTTAAAAGATTACTCCTTATTAATTAAACTTGTTAGATTGGGAGTTTCAAAATCTTTCATAGTTTATTTATTAACATTTTTTACCCATCAAATATATGAAACAACACCCGACGAAGTATGATGACCGTTAATCTAAGGGCATATTTGTTTATGTTTTGAATGGTCTTCATTATGTGAAGGTTGTCATTGTCTATGGAGTAGCTTGTTCGATAATGTTCGTCGCAATTATTTACTACACTCGCCTCAAAGGTTTGGTCGGATCTTGATCTTCTTGTATTTGAACCATTCCTTTACAAGACCATAAGGAAAAGAAAAAGAGAAAGAAAGTTCATTGGAGATGAGTTTAGAGTGAAAAACATAGCTGACTATACTTGATAATCGATAATTGTTCAAAGTTCATCTTATTTGAAGCTTCCGACTCTATTGATAATTGTATAAACATCATATATAATGAAATTTTTTTAGAAAAAACAATCAAATTAAAGAGAGTAAATCATATATTTAGCTTAAACACCGGTAAAATAGTCCAAATCCACCGCTAACAGATTGTCTGCTTTGACCCGTTACGTATCGCAGTCAACTTCACAGTTTTAAAACATGTCTAGTAGGGAGATCTTTCCATACTCTTCAACGAATTACTTTGTTCACCTCTCCAACCGATGTGAGATCTCATAATTCTCTCACTTTGAGAGTCCAACAACAAGAATGCTTTATTTCTCTCTTCAACTGATAAAAAGATTAGAAACAACTTGTTTTCGTCTTTAGCAAACATGCATGACATCGAGCACTCAAATAATTGCTTTCTTTGTCTTTTTTATTTTTTTGTTTGTCTTTTCCTCTTTTGCTTTTGCTTTTACTTTTCAATTTATTTAATTAAGATTTTGCTACCAATTATGGAAAAATCTCAAATCTTTAACCCTCTTCGCAACATTCCTTTTGCTTTTGCCTTTTCTTTTCAACTTGTTCAATCAAAGGTGGATTCTACAGACACCCCAACACATGATTGTTTATGAGTCACTGTTAAGATATAAAAAATCCCTTTTCTTTTTTTTACTCTAAATCATTATGACGGTTTGAACCATTAGTGAATCGAAAAAATTAACGTGTGAATACTAAAATGTAACGTAATGATCTCAAGTATGATAATTCTTACTTGTAATATTCCAAGCCAGTCTCACGATTTTAAGACGTATTTACTATAGAGAGAGTTTAGTCATATTCCGATCAGTGCCTTGCACCGTTCGACGACTAATTTTGATACTATTTGTAATAATCTAAGCCCACCGCTAAAAGATATTGTTCACTTTACCCCATTACGTATTGGTGTTGTCTCACGATTTTAAAATTCGTTTACTAGGGAGAAGTTTCCATACTCATATAAGAAATACTTCATTTCCCTCTCCAATTGATGTGGGATCTCAATACTCATTGAGAAACATGAATTTGAGTCAGACTTTTAAGATACTACTTCGATTGATTAACCTAATTTAGGTTTTGGATCAATCCCTAAATTAGATGAAGATCACTCTCACTCAAAATCACAAATAATTTACCTTGTTAAAAGCACAACAGTGAAGTAGAGTTAGGGCTAGTAGTGGACTTGAATTGGTACAAATTATATCAGAGTCGGACACTAAAGGATGTGCCAGCAAGGACACTGGCTCATAAGGATGAGTCTCACATCCGATTGAGAGAACATATCCTATTGGCTTAATTTGATTTGCTACCATAAAATGAATAATTAGTTAAAATGATTGACTTAGCGGTTAAAAGTTTGAATTTTTACCTTTTTTTTTTTAAATTAACTAAAAAAATATCGTGAAAATTTAAAATTTCGATTTCGTTTTACCAAGAACACAATGATACCGAAAGGAGGTGCATCCAATAAGTTCAAGCTAAGAACCACCCTTGAGAATTTGTGAAAGAGGTGAAAGGGTAAGGTAGAGGCATATATTCCTAACCTTGTGGGTACGATTTGTTTATTGTAAGGATATTAAAAGATGTATCCTATAAGATTTTTGGTGTTTCGTCTTTACACAAAGTTGTATTCAAATTCTTCGGTGCTGTGACTGTGAAGACTAATCTCTTAATCATCTTTGTCAGCTCTCAACTTTACACAATCAAAGTTTTATAACTTTCTCATTTTTCTATTTTTTAAAATCTTTGTTTACTCAATACTTAGTTTTTGGCCATTGGGATAATGAATAATATAAAGACTTCTTTGGTTAAGATATTTACATTAAAAATTTCTTATGTTTCAAGAAAAAGGTCATAAACATGATCCAAAAAAAAGATTTATACCCTTAAATTTTACGGGTCAAATTGATAATAGGATGGAGGTCGACCCTTGTGATCAAAGTCTCACAATGATAAGATAAGAAAAAAACTCATGGAGGTATAGTAAACAAAAAGCAACATCTTGAGAATTTAACCTAAAGTGGATAATATCATATCATTATAGAGATATGTGGAGGCTCGTAGTCCTTAACAAGAAACAAGGGAAGAAACAAGGGACAGTAGAAATCATTCATGATAGACTCCAAAGGCCTGAAAATGCTATGAGATGTTAAAAAATGGTTGAAGTTAGTTGAATAGGAGGATCACTATGACTATAACCGTTGATAAATTTACCAAAGACGAAAATGATTTATTCGATATTATGGATGACTGGTTACGGAGAGACCGTTTTGTTTTTGTAGGTTTGGTCCGATCTATTGTTCTTTTCTTGTGCCTATTTTGCCGTAGGAGGTTGATTTACAGGTACAACCTTTGTAACTTCGTGCTATCAAAACTATGCTCCTAACTTACTCAGGTGGATAGAGTCATTGGGTGCCAATGGAGGTTCATCGGATAAGCAATGTGCTGGGAAGAAGAGGAGTTGTGAAACTAGAGAGTTGAATGGTTGTTTGTGAGATCCCACATCGACGGGAAAGGGAAATGAAACATTCCTTATAAGGGTGTGGAAACCTCTCCCTAACAGACACGTTTTAAAACCGTGAGGCTGACAATGATACGTAACGGGTCAGAGCGGACAATATCTACTAGCAGTGGGCTTGAACTATTACAAATGATATCAGAGTCAGGCATCGAGCGATGTACCAACGAGGACGCTGGCCCCCAAAGGGGTGGATTGTAAATCCCAAATCGGTTAGAGAGGGGAACGAAACATTTCTTATAAAGTTTCATTTCCCTTTCTAGTCGAGGTGGGAAACATTCCTTATAAGGGTGTGGAAACCTCTCCATAGCAGACATGTTTTAAAACCGTGAGGCTGACAACAATACGTAACGGATAAGAGCGGACAATATCTACTAGCAGTGGGCTTGAACTATTACAAATGATATCAGAGTCAGGCATCGAGCGATGTGCCAACGAGGACGCTGGCCCCCAAAGGGGTGGATTGTAAATCCCAAATCGGTTAGAGAGAGGAATGAAACATTTCTTATATAAAGTTGTGAAAACCTCTATCTACTGGACCACGATACATAAAAGGCCAAAATGAAATCTAATAAATTGAAATATGGGCTACTCAAATCACGTGTTTCACTAAAGCTCAAATCCAGCATGGAACACAAATTCTTTTCTTCTGACAAGAACAGTGGTTTGTTTCATACACTTCAACCTTTTCAGTCTTTTCCAGAAGATTTTTGTGTATAAATATAGCCTAACAATTTCAATTCACAACACAACCGAACCCTATTCGACCTTCTTTCCTTCTGTTTGCACTTCTCTCTTCATCCAAACCATGGCCACTGCACTCAAGGCACCCACCACTTCACATGGATTGCTGCATCCTAAGCAATCATCCACCTCTAAGGAGGAAATGAGCGTGAGACATTACTCCGACAAACTTGTCACCGGTCACATTTACGCCCAACATCGCGACGATGACTCAACTAAAATTGACCTTCCAAATTACATCTCAATTATTGAGAGCATCATTACCACTGCCGATCGAATTACTGAAACCGTTCATCGCGTAAAAACCTTTATTATTCTACATAAAGTTTGACACTTTCTTTATTTTAATAATGAAATAACGAATAATTATTATCATACTCATGCAGGGTAGCGAAGGGCGTGTGGTGTATTCAGATGATTCATTGGCATCTAATGTTGTGATCGAGCCTCCGCTATGTACTCTTCATCATATCTCTAGCGAGGTCATTTTTCAATCTTTTAATAACCCTTTTGAAATCTCGTAATCAAAATTTCAAAATATGCCTAAAAGGAGATAACTTTGTTTTTTGTTTACAACTTTTATTGAAATTTCATTTTCAGTTGTCATGCAAGGCTCCGGGGGTAGAGAAAGCACACGAGACGACACTAAAAATCTTCGAAATATTGGCTAATTATCCATGGGAAGCCAAGGCAGCTCTCACTTTGTTAGCCTTTGCAACAGATTATGGAGACTTATGGCATCTCTATCATTATTCCCATACCGATCCATTGGCTAAATCATTGGCCATTATCAAGCGAGTAGCTACCTTGAAGAAGCACTTAGACTCACTTCGATACCGACAAGTGCTTCTCAATCCCAAGAGCCTTATTCAAAGCTGTTTGCAAGCAATCAAATACATGGATGAGATACGAGAATTCTCCAAATATGATGTCAAGGAGCTTACTGCGTTGCCAGCTGCTCTTCGTCTGATTCCATTGTTTACTTATTGGGTTATACACACTATTGTTGCTTCTAGAATTGAGCTCTCTAGCTATCTGAGCGAAACCGAGTAAGTAATCATTTATTTTAACCTAGACTTGCCTCAAACGGGAGGAAGAATCCACGTTTAAATTAAAAGTAAGGGAGGGAGTGGGAAGAGATTTCTCTACAACGATGTCAGAGATAGGGATTATAAGAAATTTCCAGTCCCATCTCGCTCCACGAAAACAAATAAAAAATTTCGTGGAGATGAGAATTGAAATAGGAAGCAAGATGAGGGCAGAGAAAGCTTCCATATTCCTGCCTCACCCCGTGACATCTCCACGGTGATCAAAAGAACATGACAAACCGAGTCGATCGATTTGAGTTTTTCTTTAGTTTCTTAATTCCTTAAAAATGTTAAATTTATTTTTTTTCAGGAATCAGCCACAGCTATATTTGAATGAATTGTCGGACAAAATTACGAGCGTACTCACCGACATTGAAAGGCATCTATACGCCATCCGAGATCTGAAAGGTGGAATATACTTTATAGCCTTCCATGATGTTATTGTTATTGTTCGTTAATTAACAAGTGACCTGAAACATAACGTTAAATTTGTTGTGTTTCTAATGACAGAGGAAGTTGATCTCTACCGATGGTTGGTTGACCACATTGAGCATTATCATACTGGCATTCCCTTGGTTATTTCCAAGCTGGTTGACGGCAGACCTGAAACCAACCCAATAATTGATGGCTCAACTCAAAAAGAGGTAAAAGTTCGAAGTACACACAAATATCAAAATTGATGCTGGAATGGATAAATACTAAATTATGTTTATCATATATATCATATTTGATATTTTATTAAAGATAAATATCTAGATATTTGCTTTATTAAGTTGTATCTTTACCTGTATGGTTCTTTTCATTTATTACTATTTCTATATACTTATAATTTATTTGATTATAAATAGAGAACTTTCACGCACTATTTAGTTGGGGTGGATTAAGCAAACATTCTTCGTATGTTTTACAGGTTGGTATTCATGAAAGTTTGTCGGAAAAGAACGTGATATTGCTCATTTCTGGTCTGGATATCTCGGAGGACGATATTAGAGCTTTACATAAGATTTACGATGAATTGAAAGCTAGAAACGCTAATTATGAGATAGTTTGGATTCCAATTATCCCGGAGCCTTATCATGAAGATGATCGCAAGATGTATGAGTATCTGCGTTCTACAATGAAGTGGCTCTCAATCCAGTTTACCACAAAAATATCTGGCATGAGATACATCGAGGAGAAGTGGCAATTTAGAGAAGATCCATTAGTTGTGGTACTCAACCCAAATTCTAAAGTAGAATTCATGAATGCAATTCATCTCATTCGTGTTTGGGAAAATGAAGCTATCCCATTTACACAAGCAAGAACTGAATCTTTACTCAAAAAACATTGGCCCGAGTCAACTCTCCTCAAATTCACTCACCAACCAAGGCTACCAAATTGGGTATGTATAATACTATCATTCTCTATTTCTTTTCTTTTCTTTTGATATCGTAAATGTATAAGAACGATTTAGAACTTCGGATGAAAATTAAAACTTCAAACGGTGTGACGGTAATTCATTATGAAAATTTGGATCATCAAACCATTCCAAATTACTGCTATACTAGTTTATATCTTGATTTTCATTCAAAATTCTAAAGAACTTTTACTCTAAGGGTAGTTTTCAAAACATTTTTTTTAAACATACCATTATACATTTTTTTTAATTGTTTTCATCTGTTCAGATTGAGTTTAAAAGTGTTTAAAATTATTTTTACAAAGACAGTCAAAATAACCCTTAATCTAAGTTGATCTATATACTCTTTTCAAACAGATTAAGAGTCAGAAAAGTATTATATTTTATGGAGGAAAGAATCAAGCATGGATCCAACAATTTGAAGAAAAAGTAGAAGTTTTGAAAAGCGATCCTTTGATAATCGACGGGGGTTCATTTGAGATCGTACGCATTGGAAAAGATGCAATAGGAGAGGATGATCCTAAACTTATGGCTCGTTTTTGGAAAGTACAATGGGGTTATTTTATAGTGAAGAGTCAGATAAAAGGTTCAAGTGCAAGCGAGACAACTGAAGATATTTTAAGATTGATTTCTTACCAAAATGAAGATGGTTGGGCAGTTCTTACTGTAGGCTCAGCCCCTGTGTTAATTGGTCGTGACGTTTTGATTTTGAGATTGATTGATGACTTTCCAAAATGGAAACAAACTTTGCGCTTGAAGGCTTTCCCCGATGCTTTTAGAGAATACTTCAATGACCTGGCTATGAAGACTCATCAATGTGATCGAGTTATTCTTCCTGGATTTAGTGGATGGATTCCTATGGTTGTCAACTGTCCTGAATGTCCTCTTTTCATGGAGACTGGCATTAGTTTTAAATGTTGTCACGGTGGCACTCATATGTGATCATCCAAAGTGAGTATTATATATCTTTTTATTATCATATTTTACTACTACTAAGACTACTACTATGTACAATAAATGATGCCATTTTTTGTGGCCATCTGTGTTTTTCTGTTGAAATCGAGACATATGATCTCGTCATTATCATCGATTGAATATTTGTATGATTTATGTTATTTCGACAAAATTATGAAATACTTTATCCTACTGTTTATCATTTTCGTTTCATCTCTTAAATTATGAAGACAAATAACAAAGCTGATAAAAAAAAAAAAGTTATGAACTACCATTTATATTTTTTAATCTATTGATATGTTGAATGGGTGAGATAGACCTAGTAACAAATGAATATGTAAACAATCAGTGATAGTTGAATGATTGATACCTATTACTATCACTGATTGTGGGTATTAATATGTCTCGATAACTCAACTAACTCGCACTATCCAACTTAAATCATAAATGGTGAGATGGGTAAGATTTTTTTTTCTCTTCTCAGTTTGGCTGGGTTGAATTTTGGAAAAGCCAAAAATTCAATTTGATCGGCGGTTACATTTTTTTTTGTCTGGCTAACACAACCAACCTAAAAATAGGGTTACAATCTAAGGTTATTCTACCATACTTTTTTAAAAGATTAAGAATAATTAATATTTGTAACTGATATCAGTGATGTGTTGTGATAAGTATGATGGTGGGAACACAGAAGACTTCCCTGTCTCTTCCCACTTCATCCTCCTCACATTCTTTTGTTTTTAACGTGGGGAGGAGGAAAAGGAAGGAAAAGAAGAGAAAGAAAATAGGGTGGCCGTGACAACGACAACTATAGATGGAGGAAGATGAAAGAATCGAGAAGAGACCAAAATGTTATCAAATTCAAACTTTAAGGATCAAAAACATAATTTATCTTAATCGAACTCTCAATTTTGTGTCGAATAGGTCCTTAAAATTTTAATTTTGTGTCGAGTTTCAAAATTAATAAATTGTTTATGTATCTAATTTAACAAACAAACAAAAAAAAAAAAATTATTAGTTACAAATTAAATGGAAAGCTCATAGAAGTATACACCAAAACAAAAGTTTAGGCTTCATTTGATTAATCATTTTATCTTTTTATTACTTTTTTTTTTCTAAAAATTGAACTTACTTAAAATTTCTTGCTTTATTACCTACTTTTAAATAGTTCATAAATTATGAAAAACAAAATTAAAAGTTCATAAATATATCAACATTTTTTTAAATTTAAATATCTATTTAACGTGAAAGTTGTTTGAAGTATTACCAGTTCTTAACGTGAAAGGTGCTTGAAGTAGAACCTATATCATACGTTTTTTAAGGTTCAAAGACATGTTTAACGTGAAAGTTTCTGGAAGTATTTAACGTGAAAGTTGCTTGAGGTTTAACCTATATCATGCGTTTTTTAAAGTTCGAAACCCTATTTGACGTGAAAATTGCTTGAAGTTTAAACTAGATCAGACGTTTTTTAAAGTTCAAAAACCTATTTATGGTCAAAATTGCTTAAAGTTTGTTACTATATCAGACATTTTCGAAAGTTCAAAGACCTATCTAATGTGCAAGTTGCTTGAAGTTTAACTTATACCAAACGTTTTCGAAAGTTCAAAGACCTATCTAACGTGAAAGTTGCTTGAAGTTTAACCTATGCCAGAAGTTTTCGAAAGTTCAAAGACCTATTTAACGTGAAAGTTGCTTGAAATTTAACCTATACCAAAAGTTTTCGAAAGTTCAACGACCTATTTAACGTGAAAGTTGGTTGAAGTTTAACCTATACAAGATGTTTTCGAAAGTTCAAAGACATATTTAACATGAAAGTTGCTTGAAGTTTAACCTATACCAAACGTTTTCGAAAGTTCAAAGACCTATTTAGCGTGAAAGTTGCTTGAAGTTTCGCCTATACCAGACGTTTTTGAAAGTTCAAAGACTTGTTTAACTTGAAAGTTGCTTGAAGTTTAACCTATACCAGACGTTTTTGAAAGTTCAAAGACCTATTTAACGTGAAAGTTGCTTGAGGTTTAACCAATACTAGACGTTTTCGAAAGTTCAAAAGACCTATTTAACATGAAAGTTGCTTGAAGTTTAACCTATACCAGACGTTATCGAAAGTTCAAAAAACCTATTTAACGTGAAAGTTGTTTGAAGATTAACCTATACCAGAAGTTATCGAAAGTTCAAAAAACCTATTTAACGTGAAAGTTGCTTGAAGATTAACTTATACCAGACATTATTGAAAGTTCAAAAAACCTATTTAACGTGAAAGTTGTTTGAAGATTAACCTATACCAAACGTTATCAAAAGTTCAAATACCTATTTAACATGAAAATTGGTTGAAGTTTAACCTATATCGAATGTTTTATAAAGTTTAAAGACCTACTTAACGTGAAAGTTGCTTGAAATTTAACCTCGAGATGTTGGTTGCATTTGTATGTCGATCGAGTAATCGTGGATTGTATCGTATGAATAGAAGTAGAAGCATATATTCTTTCCCTTGTGACGACGATTGGGTTATAATTGATGTAATACTTTAATCAATTATCCCCAAGATTTTGCTACTTCTTCTTTATACAAAGTATTCAAATTCTTCGGCGTTGTAACTTTGAAGATTCACTTTGTCCCACAAGAAAAAGGAAACAATTATGAATTCTAAATGATTCTTCATTCTCTTTGTTACCTGTCACCCTCCCTTATCCATTCCCTATTCCATGCATCCCCGCAACTTACATTATTATCACCTTGAATTTACTATATATCTACAAATCATTGACTAATTATTCATAAAACATATTCTAATTACGCTTTATTAAAGCTCTAATTCTTTTCGAGATTGTTTTTTATGTCTTCTTGTAACGGTACAAGCCCACCGCTAGCAGATAATGTCCTCTTTGGGATTTCTCTTTCAAGTTTTCCTTTAAGGTTTTTAAAACGTGTATGCTAGGGAGAGGTTTCCACACCTTATAAAGAATACTTCGTTCCCCGAAAAGTATTAGAAAGTTAACGAGTCATGCTTATTAGGAATCACGACACTCAACAATGATATGATATTATCAATTTCGAGCATAAGCTCTTATGAGTTTGCTTTTGGTTTCTCCAAAAGGCCTCGTACTAATGTAGATAATATTGCTTACTTATAAACCCATGATCAACCTCTTAATTAGCCGATGTGAGACTCCTGTCCTAACAATTCTCAACACTACTCACGTCTCGATATCTATTTTATGAGTTTAGCAATGAGTGAAAGTCGAGATTTGACGTAGAAAATCATACCCGTTTCCTAAATAGGGATCTGAACTAAGAAAAGAAGCTCAGATCCAGCAGAACAAATTCCTTTCTTCAGACAAAATAAGGAAATTAGTTAATTTCCTTTAGACTTCTTTGGCATTTTGTCTCTTCTTGAACAACTGAATGTGCATAAATAGAGGCAGCCAAATCCGACCAACAACACAACCAAACTATTAAACCTTCTGTGTTTTCCTTTTGTGTCTTCTCTTTGCACCCAAACCATGGCTACTTCACTCAAGCCACCCACTGTTGCTTCTGCATTGCTTAAGCAGCCAACCGCCATGACGAAGGAGGAGTCGAGCATGAAATATTACTCGGACGACCTCGTCACTGGCTACATTTACGACAAACATCGTGACGACGATACAACCAAAATCGATCTCCCTCATTACATCTCAGTTATCGAGAATATCATGACTCTTGCCGACCGAATTACCGACGCCGTTCTTCGGGTACCACATTTACAAAAATTTTATTAGTTTTATTTTAAAGGATATTTTCGATTCGGAATGAAAGATTATTCTCGTGTTTATACATGTAGGGTACCGACGGACGCCTAGTACCTTCAGATGAATCTCTGACATCTAATGTTTCAATTGAGCCACCGCTTTGTGCTCTTCACAATATCACGAGCGAGGTCATAGTTCAAAACATAATTTTTTATTTTTTTAAGTATTTTGAAAGTCATTTAAAACAAGACCCGTTATTAAAGATTTTGTTTTTCAGCTTTCGTGCAAGGCTCCCGGGATCGAAAATGCACACGAGATTACACTAAAAATCTTCGAATTATTGGCTACTTATCCATGGGAAGCCAAGGCAGCGCTCACTTTGATAGCCTTTGCAACGGATTATGGAGATTTATGGCATCTCTACCATTATTCCCATACCGATCCATTGGCTAAGTCATTGGCCATTATCAAGCGAGTAGCTATGTTGAAGAAGCACTTGGACTCACTTCGATACCGTCAAGTGCTACTCAGCCCCAACAGTTTGATCAACAGCTGCTTGCAAGCAATAAAATACATGAACCAAATTAGAGAATTCTCCAAATATGATGTCAAGGAGCTTCCTGAATTGCCTGCTGCTCTTCGTCAAATCCCATTAATCACTTATTGGGTTATACACACAATTGTTTCTTCTAGAATTGAGATCTCCAGCTATCTTAGCGAAACCGAGTAAGTCGATTTATCTATTTTTTCCGTGTTTAATAAGTTCTTAAACTTTCAATTTTATTTTTTCAGGAACCAATCACAGAAATACTTGAATGAATTGTCTGAAAAGATCGCCATTGTATTGGCCGTGCTTGAAAAGCATCTAGACGCCATCCGAGAACAATATGGTGGAACATTTTACAACGATTTTTTTTATTGATATCATTCATTCTCAACTTTATATTAACTTTGTTCGTGTGGTTGACGACAGAGGAGGTCGACCTCTACCGATGGCTGGTTGACCACATTGAGCATTATCATACGGACATTACATTGGTTATGTCTAAGCTTCTTAGTGGCAAAATTGAAGCCAAGCCACTTATTGATGGCTCTACCCTAAGAGAGGTCTGTTCTATATCATAATTTTTGGAGTGATTTATTGGTATAAAGATATAATTATCATGCCTAATATGATTATTGGAAGTGTTTATAGGTTAGCATTCAAGAAAGTTTAGCGGGGAAGAATGTGGTGTTGGTGATTTCTGAATTGAATATCTCAGATGATGACATGAGAGCTCTTCATCAAGTTTACAATGAATTGAAAAGAGACAATAAGCATGAGATTGTTTGGATTCCAATTATCCCAGAGCGTTTTCTTGAGGAAGATCGAAGGAGATATGAGTATCTGCGGTCTACGATGAAATGGTATTCAATGCAATTCTCTACAAGAGTGGCTGGCATGAGGTATATTGAAGAGAAGTGGCAATTGAGAGAGGACCCATTAGTTGTGGTACTCAATCCACAGTCTAAAGTGGAATTTACTAATGCAATTCATTTGATTCGAGTTTGGGGAACCGAAGCAATCCCTTTTACTCATAATCGAACTGAGCTTCTTTTGAGAAAACATTGGCCTGAATCAACCCTCGTCAAGTTCACTCATCAACCAAGGTTATTGAGTTGGGTATGTTACTATCACACTATTGTTGTTTTACCACATTTATTTGTTAATAAGGGTTGCATATAGATATTGGCTAAGTTGGGGGTAGGGGGTATGACTATTATAAGCTAATTTTACGGTTAGGAATCACGTATTTGTTAGATGAACACGACTCTCCACAATGGTGTGATATTATGGACGCTTCCCCAAAAGGCTATCGCTTCCCCAAAAGGCCTCATACCAATGGAGATAGTATTCCTCACTTATAAACCTATGATCTTCCACTAAATTAGCCAATGTGGGACTCACTCCCAATAATAATCCTCGAGATAGTATTCCTCACTTATAAACCTATGATCTTCATCTATATTAGCCAACGTGGGACTCACTCCCAATAATAATCCTCAACAGGATCTCCACAATGGTATGATATTGCTCACTTTGAGCATAAACTCTTGTGGCTTTGTTTTGAGCTTCCCCAAAAGGCCTCGTACGATTATTCCTCACTTATAAACCCATGATTTTCAACTAAATTAGCCAAGGTAGGACTCACTCTCAATAATAATCCTCAACATTTACTTTTTGTATCAGTTCAACCAAGAGAGAAGCATCCTATTCTACGGTGGAAAAGAACCTAAGTGGATTCAACAATTCGAGGAAAGAGCAGAATTTTTGAAAAGTGATCCTCTAGTAATTGAAGGGCGTTCATTTGAGATCGTACGCATAGGAAAGAACGCAAGAGGAGAGGACGATCCTGCACTCATGGCTCGTTTCTGGAAAACACAATGGGGCTATTTCATAATCAAGAGTCAAATAAAAGGTTCAAATGCCAGCGAAACAACCGAAGACATCTTAAGGTTGATTTCTTATGAAAATGAAGATGGTTGGGCTGTTCTTACTGTTGGCCCAACCCCTATTCTAGTTGGCCGTGGTCTTTTGATTCTAAGATTGCTCGATGATTTCCCAAAATGGAAGCAAATGTTACGCCTCAAAGGCTTCCCCGATGCTTTTAGAGAATACTTCAACGAGTTGGCTGCCAAGACCCACCAATGCGATCGAGTTATTCTTCCAGGGTTTAGTGGATGGATTCCTATGATTGTCAATTGCCCTGAATGTCCTCGCTTCATGGAGACTGGCATTAGCTTCAGGTGCTGTCACGGTCGTCCTCTCGTGTGATAATGCCGATTCAACAACCTATCTTTTTATTACTACTACTACTATTACTGCTACTAATAAATGAAATTAACTATGCAGCTTATTGCTATTTCTTATTCCATGGTTGTTTATTAGAATCGAGTCCAATAGGTCTCGCTACTAATAAGCTCATGTATTGCTTTGCATTAGTTCTTCAATTTTTTTCTTTTTAGTTCACTTTGTATTTGCTTACATGATCATCTAATGTAAGAACTACATCAAATAAAGGACGTTATTTGGTTGCTTTCAATTTCATTTGTGTATATTGTCACACTATAAGCTTATTTATTGCTTTCGAAACAAACCCATTTCATAATATTTTCATATTAATTTTCTAATCTCGAATTTGATTATTTTTTCTCAATTTCTTTATTATGATTTTCAACTTTCTTAGAGAAACATGAACTTTTACTCGAATTTTAAAAACAAAAACAAGATTCTGAAAATTGATTTTTCAATTTTTGCAAATAATGGTAAAAAATAGAATATGAAAGAGTGTTTAAAACATTATGATACTCATCTATCTTGGCCCTTGGGGGACCAGATGGGCCCACTTGAGGGTCTGGGTCACCATTTACTCGTCATTATGTGAGGATCACAACCTACCCTCTCCATAGTATACTTGTGACACTAAATTATTAAGCTACACACTTCGATAGTTGTTTAGCTCACGAGTAAAAACATTGTTTTACACCTTCAAAAGATTAAAAGAACTTGAGGAACCAAAGTCATTTTTTTTATAAAATTTTTTGTTTTAGGTTATTCTCAACGATTTCCTCACGTTGAACTTCTTGGTCCAATCTTTGACTCATTGCTAAATCTTGTTGTAATCGACTTTTGACTTGTTGATGTGCTTCGGATGAGTGGGATCAGTCATATCAATCTTTTTGAGATCAAATTTAAAAGCTTCATAAGCTATAACAAGTACACACATAAAATAGTGAGTACTCCAAGAATCCTAAGAAAACTTGTGTTCTTTCTCAAGAATTTTAACCGAGTAACCAAAATAAAATGATTTGATAAGTGGGAAGCTGATAGTAATACGTAACTGATCAAAGCACACAATGTTTGTTAATAGTGGACATGAACTGTTACAAATGGTATCATAACCAGATACTGGCGGTGTGCCAACGAGGACACTAGGCAATCAAGGGATAAATTATGAGATCCCACATCGGTTGGAGAGGGGAATGAAACATTTCTTGTATGGCTATGGAAACCTTGTCCTAGTACACGCATTTTTAAAACTGTGAGACTGAAAACGATATGTAACAAGTTAAAGTGGACAATATTTGTTAGCGGTCAGTTTAGACTGTAATAACGTTACCAAGTGTTGTGCAAGGTTGCTTAAACATGAATTAAGCTTTTCTTCCTACCCAAGACATCCAAATTTTGAGTTTCGAAGATAAATTTAGCTTGTAGTTAAAAGAAAGAAAGAACACGATAAACGAAAATTCCTTCTTTTATCTAGTTTGATTCAATATTGATCGAGATGAATCAAGTAATTTACACTAGTTCTTTCTACCCCAAATCGAATAGAGAATTGCAACGACTTCGTGTACACGGGATCAAATATAGATATAAGAGTTGTGGACTTTTCAAAACTTCTTCCAACAGGTTCAAGATGAGCTTGAGCCTCATTCTATCGACTAGATAGGGTCTCGGGTTTGGTTGTGAAATTTGCCAATTTCGGGATTTTCATACATAGGTGCAATGAAACCGTGTTTTTTTTCCTAATCGAGCTGTTACAATTGATCGTAGGGATTACATATTACTATTTTATAATTGCAGCTTTTAAAATATAATTCCTTTAATCTATTCTTCAAGATCTTGTTTGCTTCTTCTTTACAGAAAGAATTGGAATTGTTGGGTGTAATTTTGAAGATTCACTTTATTCACAAACAAACTAAAGTTTGCAATGATTCTTCATTCTCTTTGCTAGCTGTCAGTTTTATGCCACCAAATTTTAGAACCACAATTTTCATTCATAAATACGACTATGTAATGTTAATAATTTGATTTTTATTTTTTGAAAATAAATGCTATTTTCTCTTGTTGTTTACCCGTTTTTTACTTTTATTTGCCAGTAGATACGGTCCATTTTGGCCCATTATATATAGTCATCAGTCTCACAGTTTTGAAACGAATTTGCTAAAGGGAAGTTTTCACACTCTTATGGGAAATATAGTATGATTTATACCTACAAAATAAATCAATGATTATCAAACGGGTCTAAATTCTTATGTTATTATCCCAATATTTCTTTTTCTTATTTTTGCATCATATGATAATGTAACTAGAAAGTAACGACCAACTTAATATTAATTATATATACAAATATTAATTATATCTTATAGATTTAAAAGGTAGGAAAATAATCCACTTTAAGTATAGTACAATTAGCATATTAACAATAAAAATTATGGGTTTAAATTTTTATTTCTGTGTTGTTGAACTTCAAAAAATAAAAACTCGATAATTGAGGCAGCTAATAACATCTCATGAACTCAAAAGTTCATATTTTTTCCATGAAGCGTAGGTTGGCAATTCTCTCCGAAAAATAATCAAAACTTTATCATCAGTTCTTTGGTTACGCCCTTCTTTTTGGAGCTCATCCCTACCACGCACACGATAATCTATAGTTAAATGATTGAGCTGAGTTACAAAAAAATAGGTACGTCCAAAAATGCATTCAAGAATTTTTTGTTAAAATATTACTTCTACTAGTTCAATTTTTTACTCTCGATTTGGCGGGATTGTGACGACCGAAACAAATGGCTAATGAGACAAGAAAAAAAGGTAAAATGGATCTATTCGACCATGTGTCAAGTTAAAGCTTAAATCTAGAACTTCACATTCTTTTCTTTAGACAAGAAGAACATTAATGTCCTCAAGACTCTTTGTTTTTGTGTCTCTTCTTGAAGATTTGTGTGTATAAATAAAGCCCAACAACTCCAATTAACAACACAAGCAACCTATTCAACTCTCTTTGCTTCCTCTATTGTCCTTCCTCTCTCAATACCCAAACCATGGCCACTACACTCAAGGCACCCACCGGCGCTGCACCTTCTTTGTTGCATTCTAAGCACGCATCCACCCACAAGGAGGAGGTTGGCACCAAGCATTTCCCCGACGAACTCGTCACCGGACACATTTACGCCAAACATCGTGATGACGATAGTACCAAAATTGATCTCCCCAGTTACATCTCAGTTATCGAGAATATTATCACAACTGCTGATCAAATTATTGATACTGTTCATCGGGTAAAAATATAACGTTTACCTGCACAATTAAATGTTTGCTTGCTTGTCTTTTTTCTAATTCTATTATTGTACTTATATAGGGAATCGACGGCCGCTTGGTACACTCCGATGCAACTTTGGCATTCAATGTTGTGATCGAGCCTCCGCTTTGTACCCTTCATCGTATCTCTAGCGAGGTTATAGTCATATCACTTAAATCATTGGGACCCATTTGATAAAATGATCTAATTTTTTTACTTTTTAAGTTTAAAGTTTTGTTTTTAACTTTTTTTTTTTTTTTTTTTTTTTTTTTTTTTTTTTTTTTTTTTTTTTTTTTTTTTTTTTTTT